TGCAACTACTCAAGATGTGTATGGGCTATAGTGTTACAAATGACAGGCTACACAAGACAGAGGTCAGCAACATGGGACCAAGAACTACAATGGCTGATTACAAATGGTAGAGGCAAGAGTCTTCAATCCATTGCACTCAGGCTATGTTTCAATGCCTATGTGTATTGGGTGTGGAGACAAAGAAATGCAAGGATTTTCAAGCAACAGGATTCACTGGCAACAAGGGTGGCAAAGCAAGTGGTGGATGAAGTAAAGACCAAGCTGAACTCACTCAAGTTTAGTATGGACTATGGACCAGACAGATAGAGATTGATGGACATTTGGGACATTCAGATTGTACCAAAGACCTATCAAGCTAAGTGGTGCAAATGGGAGAAACCAACAGATAACAATGTGGTACTTAATACTGATGGTACACTTCAAGGTACACTTGGTGGATGGGCAGCTGTGTTAAGGGATAAAGATGGGGAGGTATTGGCAGCAGCAAAGGGAAGATCATCTTACAACAGCATCGCATTGATTGAATTCCAAGGATTAGAGCAAGGGCTGTTATTGGCACTTAGAGAGGGCATACACAAGCTAGAGGCAAGGACAGATTCAGAAAATGTTGTGACTTTCATCAATAAGGGAAGAGTTCCATGGCAAGCCAAGCATATGACGAGGAGAATACATGACCTGATTGATGAGTTTCAACACTTCCAGATCAAGCACACCTACAGAGAAACAAACAAATTAGCTGATGCACTAGCTACACAGATTCCTACACTAGATTATATTGATATTGTACCTAGTTCCTTTTCAGAGGACATTAGAAAAATTGTGTATGATGATAGTATTGGTACTACCTATAAGAGATTGTAATGCTCCTTTGATTTATGATTCTTATGAACGGGGTAGGGGACCCCTGTAACAATCCCGCTTTCCAATCAAAAAAAAAATGATCACCCAAAGGTTTTACCAATTGAAAACAAATGAAACTTGCAAAATATTGTGTTAAGCTTTTTTTTAATGAGATCAGTAACTCGGTAATGCTAGTAGGATTTGAACCCCAGACCTCTGGTATCATCACCCAAATGTTTTACCTGTTGTGCTTAATTGACACTTGCAAAAATTTTGTGTTAAGTCAGTTTTAATAAAATCAGTAACTCCGTAATACTAGCAGGATTTGAACCACAAACCTCTGTTATCATCACCCAAAGTTTTACCAGTTGATCTCAACTGACACTTGCAAAAATATTGTTGTAAGTCAGTTTTTATTGAGATCAGAAACTTGTTAATGCTAGCGGGATTAGAACCCCAGACCTCTGGTATCATCACCTAAAGGTTTTACCAGTTGAGCTCAACTGACACTTGCAAAAATGTTGTAGTAAGTCAGTTTTTAATAAGTTCAGTAACTCCGTAATGCTAGCTGGATTTGAACCCCAAACCTCTGCTCTCATCAGCCAAAGTTTTATCTGTTGTACTCAATTAACACTTGTAAAATGTTGTGGTAAGCTTGTTTTTATTTAGTTCAGTAACTCGGAAATGCTAGCGGAATTTGAACCCCATACCTCTGGTATCATCAACCAAAGGTTTTACCAATTGAGCTTTAATGACACTTGCAAAATTTTGTGGGAAGCGTAATTTTAATGTGATTAGTAACTCGGTAATGTTTGCGGGATTTGAACACTAAACCTCCTGTTATCATTACCCAAAGGTTTTTCTCATTGAATTCAACTGAAACTTGAAAAATGTTGTGGTAAGCTTGTTTTTAATGAGATCAATAACTCGGTAATGTATGCGGGATTTGAACCCTAAACCTCTAGTATCATCAGCCAAAGGTTTTACCAGTTAAACTCACCTGAAAAATGCAAAATGTTGTGGTATGCTTATTTTTAATAAGATTAGTAAGTCGGTAATGCTTGCGGGATTTTAACCCAATACCTTTGGTATCATCACCCAAAGGTTTTACTAGTTGAGTTTTAATGACACTTGCAAAATGTTGTGGTAAGCTTGTTTTGAATGAGATCAGAAACTCGGTAATGTTAGTGGGATTAGAACCCCAGACCACTGGTATCATCACCCAAAGGTTTTACCAGTTTAGCTCAACTGACACTTGCAAAAATGTTGTGGTAAGTTTGTTTTTAATAAGATCAGTAACTTCGTAATGCTAGCAGGATTTGAACCACAAACCTCAGTTATCATCACACAAAGTTTTACCTGTTGAGCTCAACTAACACTTGCAAAATGTTTCTCTAAGCTTGTTTTTAGTGAGATCAATAACTCGGTAATGCTAGCGAGATTTGAACCCAATACATCTGTAATCATCACCTAAAGGTTTTACGAGATGAGCTTTATGACAATTGCAAAATGTTGTGGTAAGCTTGTTTTTAATGTGATCAGTAACTCGGTAATGCTTGCGGGATTTGAACCCTAAACCTCTGGTATCATCACCCAAAGGTTTTTCCCTTTGAACTCAACTGAAACTTGCAAAATATTGTGGAAAGCTTGTTTTTAATGAGATCAATAACTCGTTAATGTTTGCGGGATTTGAACCCTAAACCTCTGGTATCATCAGCCAAATGTTTTACCAGTTGAGCTTTAATTACACTTGCAAAATGTTGTAGTAAGCTTGTTTTTAATGTGATCAGTAACTCGGTAATGTTTGCGGGATTTGAACCCTAAACCTCTGGTATCATCACCCAAAGGTTTTACCATTGATCTCAACTGAAACTTGCAAAATGTTGTGGTATGCTTCTTTTTAATGAGATCAATAACTCGGTAATGTTTACGGGATTTGAACCCCATACCTCTGTTATCATCACCCAAAGGTTTTACCAGTTGAGCTTTAATGACACTTGCAAAATGTTGTGGTAAGCTTGATTTTAATGTGATCAGTAACTCGGTAATGTTTGCGGGATTTGAACCCTTAACCTCTGGTATCATCACCCAAAGGTTTTTCCCATTGAACTCAACTGAAACTTGCTAAATGTTGTGGTCAGCTTCTTTTTAATGAGATCAATAACTCGGTAATGTTTGCGGGATTTGAACCCTTAACCTCTGGTATCATCAGCCAAAGGTTTTACCAGTTGAACTCAACTGAAAATTGCGAAATGTTGTGGTAAGCTTGTTTTTAATAAGATTAGTAACTCGGTAATGCTAGCGGGATTTGAACCCCATTAATCTGGTATCATCACCCAAAGGTTTTACCAGTTATAGACTACACTTATGGACTACACTACAAATGTGGTAAACTTATAGACTACACTACAAATGTATGAATCCTATGATTAGTCACCTGTCATTTGCAGATGACCTTATTGCTTTTATGCATGGGGAAAGGAATGCAGCCAGGTGTTTAAAGGAGTCTCTAGAAGAATTCAAAGGATGTACAGGGCTGGAGGTCAATACAACAAAAAGTTCCTTCTTCTTCTCAGGAGTGGAACCTAATGTATGTACACAAATCACTTCCATTGTGGGCTTCTAAGTGGGGCACTACCAGTAAGATATTTAGGCTTACCTTTGTTCACAACTAGGCTTAAGTCTGGAGATTGCTTACCTCCTATCCTGAAGTTGAATTCGAAGTTGCAAAACTGGAAAGGGAAACTTATGTCATATGCAGGGATACTACAGCTTATTAATTCAGTACCTAGCAATCTGAATGTCTTCTGGTTCTCAGCCTTCATACTTCCACAAAAAATCATCTCTGACATCAACAAGATATGTAGTAATTTCTTATGGAAGGGACCTGATGCTACAAATTCTCATGCAAGCATTAGCTGGACAGATGTGTGTTTTCCATATGATGAAGGGTGACTAGGCATAAGAGATCTTGAGGTTACCAATCATGCCGCAAATATGAGACATCTATGGCATATTGTGAGTCATAGAGATTCAATGTTGGTTCACTGGGTGAAGCAACATCTCATCAAAGAGAGGAATTTTTGGCATCTAAAAACTCCCAAAGATTGTTCATGGAGTTGGAGGTCTATTCTTAAAGAAAGGGACAAGGCCATGTACCTAGTGCAGCACCTTATTGGCAATTGGCAAAACACAAAGTTCTGGCATGACCCATGGTTGGCTACTGGCATACTTAGAGCACATTTTCCTAATGTTCTCGTATGACTCTTTATGTCAATTGAATGCTAATGTTTCTAACATGATTGTTGACAACAGATGGGAGTTCCCTGAGCAAGTGAGAATTCATATTCAAGATATTGACAGGCAAGCACAAGAAAGCATTCTCATAGGTGGGGGTCCAGATGAAGTTATTTGGGCACCATCTGTGTCTGGAGATTACAGCTTGAAACATACTTATGAGGCTATTAGAAAAACAAAACCACCTGTTACATGGAGTAAGCGAGTATGGTTTTCAAGCAGGATACCAAGGCATTCTTTTACAACCTGGATGGTGCTGAAAGGAGGAATAAAGACACAAAGCAAGTTGAGACAATGGGGTGTGTTACAAATTGACACTTGTGTATTATGTTGGCAGCATTCTGAGACTGAGGAGCACCTCTTCTACAATAGCAATTTCTCAAAGAGTGTATGGGCTACAGTTTTGAATAAGGCAGTGTATTCAAGGAATAGAGCAGCAACATGGGATCAAGAACTCCACTGGTTAAGCACTACAAGCACTGGTAAGAGCATAGAATCAACTGCACTTAGGCTATGCTTTAATGCCTATTTGTACTGGGTTTGGAGGGAAAGAAATGCAAGGATCTTCAAGCAACAAGATTCACTAGCAACTAGAGTGGTAAAAAACATAGGAGATGATGTTAAGACAAAGCGTCAGTCACTCAAGTTCAGTATGGAATATGGACCAGATAGGCAGATA